CTCCATGAGATTCTTTTAAACAAGCTAATAAAATGTGGGATAGAAAATGCAACTGTTAGTTGGATTTGTAATTGGTTGACCGGAGAAGTTGGATGGCCATCTGTCAGGGGTGATTTGATTGTGTGTTCCTGCATGGCAGGGGGGTTGGACTGGATGGCCCTTGAGGTCTCTTCCAACTCTATGATTCTTCAATCTATGATTTAGGGTTGGCTAAAGTCCTTAACTTATTTGAAATCTGGTAACCATTATCCCATTTGGAACAAAATGGGGAACTGCCATTCATTAAAGACATGTTCTGTTAATTGCTCCTAACCAAAAGGAAGAAGTGGTGTTTTCCTGCATGGCCAAAAGGATGATACATACCTTAGTTTATTAAGCAGTATCTTAACCATTTGAGCACTCAAAGTAGAAAGAATTTGCTTGATAACCATTGTTGAAACCACCATAATGTTCTGTGTTATAAAGTATATCAGTGGACATGTCACACTGAAACCTCAATTTTCAAAATTTCAGGGCTCCATCTGAACTTGCTCATGCTGCCTTTTTAGCATAAAGTTTCCTCTTCCTCTATGTCCTGTTTAGCTTCACACACATAGGCCAGGTTCCAGCAACCTCTTAAAATATGTTCAAGGAACTTCATGTTTATGCTGAGGTTTCTAAGTTTAATTCCAAACAGTATGCCCTACTAGGCTGCTTCTTAAATTCATAGTGGGCCCAAAAATGCTGTTTGGATTTTAAAAAAAAATACAAATGTCCAATGTATCTATGGGTCTCTACTCATGTTTCTTTGGATAGTACCTGCTCTTTGTTAAATGGAAATTCTTTTAAATTTGGGGTAGATGATAGCTGGAAGTTTTACATTCCTGAGAGTTGAGCACAGTATTATTTGAGGAAGAGATAAGAACAAAACTGTTGTGCTAGGTGTTCTTATTTGATATAATGCTCTAATCTGTCAAAAACATTGTACATTGTTTTCCTATGAAGCTTCACATAAGAAGAATGAAACAGTTCAGAGATGTTCACTTTATGTTCCCTGAATGTATATACTGCATTTTGTTCAAGAATCCTAATGCCACATGTATACTAATAGTAATCACAGTTTTCTTTATGCCATTGTTTATATAGGTAAAGCAACACCATTCACACACTAGGAAAGTGATTCATGTACAAACATAATTTTTTTAAAAAAATAGTCTAATGAGGACTGAGCATACTCTTTGCTCATGGGATGCTAACAAGGGTGGAATAGATTAACTGGAATTTTGAACAGGGAGCATTCTCCTGCAGTATTGTGTTGCATATTCCAGTTGTTAGGATAATTTGCTTCTTCATTTCTCTTGGGTGTCTCTTTGTGTTTGTGGTCTTCAAATGGTTTGTTCATTAATTAAAATTTTAGCTTCTTCGGCCACATTATTATTTCTGTTTGTTGCAGACACAAGGTGAAGCTGCTCGTAGCCAGTTGATCTTGTATCATTATCCTGAGCTTCGAGAAGAAAAGGGAATTGTACTGATGACAGCAGAAATGGATTCTCAATTTTTGGTAAATAAAAACAGCTATTTGTTCATTCCTTCCCCCCTCCCCCAAGTAGTACCAATAGAAAAAAATGATGTGACTGTTTCTTGGACTGTAAGCTGATCGGTATTGTGCTTGTTGAATCTTCAGTAAGCTTCTCTATATACACACAAATGAAAGGTTTCATATTAGACAGGCTGCAGAAGTAGGTTGAATCATTCACCAGAATTCATTATTCTAGACACATGACATAGTCCTTGACCATGCCTCTGCCGATACAAATGACTTTCCCTTGCTATAAGGTATGGTGTGACTTAGCTCTTAATGACACATTGACAGTATCCCACAACATCAATCCTGTACTACTTTTACAGCATATATTTTTCTTCAGTTTTATTACTGGATGCCTTTATTGAGTCAACACAAAATTTGCTGACATAATGCATAACATTACAGCACAGTGAGAAAATGAAATTGAGATAGTAGGTATAAAACATAAGATCAAGTGCAAAATGTAAGAGGGTTGTGTTAGAATGGTTGCATCTCATTTATTTAGTATGTATGTTCCTCCCCCCTTTCGCTGTTTCTTTAAATCAGGGATTGAGAACCTTTTTAGCCCTTCAGGTACAGATTCACTATTACTCCCATCATACCTCATTATTAGCTAGGCTGACTAGGGCTGATGGGAATGGCATTCAACAACACCTGGAGGGGCAGAGGTTCTTGCTTTAAATTGTTATTCAACTTATGGTAAGGTTAATGCAACATATAAAATAGAACCTTCTTCCCTCCCATGCTGCTTTTCTATGTGCTTCTACCCCCTTTTAGGCAAAGATGCATTGTCATAAAATGTCCTTCTTTCATTCTGAAGTGTTAATGTTGCAAGAGCTAGTGATGCAGTGATGCCTAATTAAGTTTCATGGCAGACTGTGATGGGGCCCAGGAGCCTGATTGACATCCCACTGCAAGCACACAAGTATTCACCTTTTATTTTGCACCTGGACTGTTGGTCCATGAAATACACTCAGGAGAGTCCTAAATTTAAACCATAGCCCATCTCTGAGCTCAAACTGCAGGATATTTCATAAGATTGTTATAGAACTGAAAAAGACCTCTCAGTCTTTCAACAACTTGCATTGTGTTTCCTTCTGTTTAAACTTTTCCAGAGTGTGCCAGAAGCTCAGTGCCTAGCCAGCCAAGTCCAGCTTTTTTATGCCACAGACCGTCAGGAGGTATACCAGGTAGTGGAAACTTTTAACCACCGGCCAGCTGAATTTAAGTACATGTCTGTAATAACTGAGATTGAACAGAGCAGAGTTGGGGAAGAACTGAAGCCTCAGCAAGAACCACCATCGCCTTTGGCTTGAGTGGTTCAGTAGCCACGAGCAGAGATGACTGATGTGGCAAATGATCCTGCCTTGGGACTGGAGTTGCTGCTTCATACAGAAATAATCTGAATGGAAAAGGGTGATGTCAGCATCTGATGGGGAGAAGAAGATATCTTATGAATTGATCAACTCAGTACTGTGAGAATATGGAGGCTCTTGCATAAACCCATTTCTTTCTGAATGGTAGAGGAAATGAGGAAACATGGCGTTTGCAGTTTCCTCTCCCCTATTGCACACAACTCAGTGGCTTTTCATATTTATGAAGATTCTCTGTATCACTTACTCAGTTAGCAAGGAAGGAGCATGGGATATGTGAGCTAGGAGAGACTAGATATGGTGAATTCCTAAACAAAAAATGATTCATGTAATTTCATCATTGTACATGATTTTTTGCAGCTTGAGTGAAAAGGACAGTTTTCTACACCACGTGGCTTAAAAATTTAAAAAAAAATTGAAAGTACAAAAAGAGCAAGTACAAAAGCACATCTCTTGGAAGTCTCAGACATGACTAAGCATAACAACCATTCTGTATGTAAATCTTATAAGCATAAACAGGTGATTAGGGACTGTCCTCCAGAAAAAAGGTGTTGAATGTTTCTCACAGTGTTTACCTATCATACATAGGTGAGGGAAAACCTTTTGCATTTAGTCTCTAAAAACAGAGGTTTTACCCCCCTCCTTTCCCCAACAATATGGGTAATAAATATTGTGTCAGAATTGAGTCATGCACAAACTTACAATTCATTTGTGAAAATTGAGATAACTCTTGTTATCTTCCTTTCACCCTCCTTGACTACTTTTGTGTAATGGGTGAATTCCCTCTCCTTAGATGGTTTGTTTCTGAACCTAATAGTGAGAAGGTGACAAGGAGCAGGTTCAGGAAATCCTGGATGCAGATGAACCTGATACTGTGCAGACTGGACTTGGCTTTCTAGGAAGTAATCTGAAGAGGGGAAGCCAGATAACACTGATTCCCTTCCCAAATTGAGTTTAGAAATAACTGTCAGTCCTTTATATACATCAGAAATTATCAATGACAGGTAATATGGATAAACAAGGAGAGCAGAGAAAGCATTTGCAGTCTTGAGAATATCCCCTAAAAGAGAAGTTTTGAGTTTGAATCCTACACTCCATGCCCATAGCTGTCTATCTCATGATGCATGCCCAAAAAACAAAATAAACAAAACCAAATCACTCCTTTTTCCTCCATCAAGGTAAATGATTTCATTATAAGATATATATATTTTTGCGTGTGTATGCACTTGAATAATTTTGCATAATTTTTCATTTTCTGAAAACCAAAGTATTATAATAACTTTGTGACAGCCTGGGTGGAAAAAGAGTAATTGAAAGAAATTAATTGTTGGATCACACACGGCATTTGATTTTAAAAGCTGTATACATTTGCATATGAATAAAAATTATTCTAAACAAAATACCTGCTTTATTTTCTGTTTAAGATTAAACAAATGCATGTCACAATAGGTACATTATTGGGAAGACGCATTCTTTTCTGTGGGAGCAAACGTTGGGAAGTGTGTAAGTGGCAGGTGCCATGTTGCATGTATTAAAAATTGAATATAGCTTTGTCCTGTTGATATGAGATACCTGTTTAGCCAAACAAAAATTACTTATCAGCTACTTTGAGAAGAGGGCTTGGATCCTGAGTTGTCCTGCTGGTGGAAGAGACAAAGGTGATTTTCACTGATTTACCCTTCCCTGAGTCTACAGCTTTCAGTACAACTTTCCATATTTTCAGACTATCTCCCACTACTCCATAGCAGGCTTTTGAGAGGCACAGATGGCTGAAGTAAGTCTTCCTCAAACAGCAGGATTCTTAGAACCAATTTCTGTTGCCATACAGGCATATGCATAATTGTGCTGTGTTAGAGAAGAGTCTGGTTTCTTTTTGATTAGGTAATGTACATAGAGCATAGAGGGCATCCTGGATCCCATAGGAAGTACCTTTTCGTTTTGCTAACGGAATTTAAATTTTCTGGACTTTAAAATGCTTTGTTTCCGAGTACCACATGGCCTGAAGAATGAGTGGCCTGCCTGCATAAATATGCTTCCATACTCTGAACACCACCACCAACAAATGCAGGCCTAGTGGTTTGAGCATTTGACTATGACTTTGGAGGTCATGGTTCAAATCCCTGCTCTGCCATGACCTTGGGCAAATCACAACTTCTCAGGTTCAGAGGATGGCAATGGCAAACCCCCTCTGAAGAAAGTTACCAAAAAAATCCAATGACAGGTTTATCTTAGGGTCACCATAAGTTAGAAATGGCACACAATAACATTTTTAACACCTTGCCTGTTGAAGAAGCCAGTGGAACTTCAAAAGCTTGCAACATATATTTTATGCATTTTGGTTGGCCCTATAAAGGTAAGAATGAGAGACCTATTCCACAAGATTCGAGAAATTAAGGGAAAGTTCAAACCAAGGACCAGGATGCCCTAAAATAATAAAAATAACATAATTCAAGACCAGGAAGAAATTAAAAAACGATGGATGCAATACACAGAAGAGTTACATAAAAGAGATGACAACATGAAGGACACATGGGATGAGGAGCTGTATGAAGATGAACTCCAAATTCTAAAAACAGGTGGAAGCTGCAATAAAGGAAATGGCAAAAAACAAGATTCCAGGAACAGATGATATTCCAATAGAACTTTTGCAATACACATTGAGAGAGTCAACTCTAGTGCTAACCAACATATGTCAACAGATATGGAAAACAAAATTATGGCCAACAGATTGGAAGCCATCAATATACATCCCCATCCACAGAAAAGGAGATATAAAGAGTTCAGCAACTATAGAACCATAGCAGTAATCTCCCACGCAAGCAAGATCATGCTCAAAATTCTGCAACATAGGCGCCAACCACACATGGAAAGAGAAATCCAGAGGTTCAAGCAGGGTTCAGAAAATGAAAAGGCACTAGGGATCACACTGCAAATATACAGTGGCTAATGGAGCATGGCAGGGAGTTCAAAAAGAAAATCAGCATGTGCTTTATAGACTACAGCAAAGCCTTTGCATAGGTCATGAAAGGCTATGGAATGCCCTTAAAGACATGGGAGTGCCAACACATCTGATAGTCTTAATGAGGAAACTGTACTTGAGACAAGAGACTACTGTCAGGACGGAACATGGAGAAACAGAATGGTTCCCAGTTGGCAAAGGAGTCAGACAAGGTTGCATCCTATCACCATAATACTAACAGAGAACCTCACAGACCTGGAACAACTACTAAGGAAGATCAAAGAAGAAAGTGTAAAGGCAGGCTTACTGTTGAACATAAAGAAAACAAAAATAATGACCACAGAGAACTTACACTCATTCAATGAGGAAATAGAAAGAGTAAAAGAGTTCTTATATTTGGGATCAAACATTGATCGGTATGAGGACTGCAACTAGGAAATCAGAAGAAGATTAGGGGTGAGGGATGGCTATGAAAGAACTAGAAAAGATCCCAAAATGCAAAGACATACAACTCAGCACAAAAGTCACAATCATACAAGCCATTGTATTCCCTATTACCATTTGCCTTGCTTTTAGGCCCTTTCTGTAGGTCTATTACCATCTATGGATGTGAGAGCTGGACAGTCAAAAAAGAAGATAGGAGGAAAATCAACTCATTTGAGATAATGTGCTGGAGAAGAGTGCTGAGGATTCCATGGACAGCCGAAAGGACAAAGAAATGGGTCCTAGAGCAGATCAAGCCAGAGATATCCCTAGAACGGGGGCTGGGTTGCTGTCCCTTAGACAATTGGGGGGCCGAAGCACCAAAAATAAATGAATGAATAAATAAATAAATAATAAAAATAAAAAATTAAAAAATATATTTTAAAAATTTTTAAAAAATGCATGCACACTCTCTCAGCCCCAGAA